ATAAAAAATTATTAAGATCTTTTGTCTTTTGTATTGCAGTTACTTTCGGATCCCAACTCTTATTAAGATAACGTAAAATTTTGTTTACAAGTTCAAAATCTGAAAAACTTCTACCAATAACGGGTGTACATATCAATAACGGTTTCGCTTGGTTTCATATGAAATAATTCAAAATCATGCATTAAAAGATAGACTTTAGAATCTTTAACTCTAGTAGTGCCTTCGTGTGTGATTTTAAGAGCATGCCAAATGTCAAAAGCCGTTTCACAAGTAGAAATCCGATTGAATTCATTTTTATCTAAGGTGCAAAATAAGACATTCATAGCATTTGCATTTAAAGAGAAAGTCTTCTTCTCCAACTCATTCCAATCATTCATTGGAAGAGAAGAATTTTGAAAACCAAATTCAACTATATTCTATAAATCGAGATTCAATAAAAGGAAGAAAACTCTCGTTCGAGTTTTTCAATATATGTAGTCCGTCCAATTGAACAAGGGAGGACGAATGAGAGAGTGACCCTCGAAAAGAGTCATTTCTCTTTGGGTGTTAAACCAAATGAGAAAAACGAAGCTATGATACCAACTATTAGGAATGAGTCGGCACTAATAGGGGGGGTTTTGAATTAATTCAGCGGAAAGATTACGTCGGTTTAAAAAATCTTCATTCGATTAAAACCGATTTCAACGAAAATCGTTTCGAGAGATGTTAACTTTAAAATCATATTCATAAGTGTAATGGAAGTAAGCAAGTAAGTAGTTTGCACTGAAAGTAAATAGCAAGAATAGAAATGCAAACCAAGTTTTTATAGTGGTTCAGTCGTTGTGACCTACATCCACTCTACCGATTCCCCTTCCGTTGAGGCCATCGGCATCCACTAATGATCTTTCTTTAATATGCGAAGATCAACCTCCTTCTTACAACTCTATTCTCCTTTTGCAAGCTCAGGAGAGAACCTTTATACCCCATTTTTACAAAGCTTCTCTCACACTCTCCCTTAGAATGGTTTCTAAATTTTAGGACGAGGAACTCTATACTTTACAAGGATTTTCAACTATAGAAACATAGAGTTTTTGTTAACTTTTCTTGATTCTCCAAGCAGGAATAGCTAGGGTATTTATGGACTACAAATGGCTTTAAAAATGAAGCCAAAATTCAAATCCTCGAAATTTCAAGGTACGGGCAGTACCACCGCCTGCAGTCTAACACTGGGCGGTACCACCGCCTAGAAGATTGTGTTTGGGCGGTACCACTGCCCAAACTGGCGGTACCACCGCCTGACATAGTCTCGAAGACTGTGCCACGACGGTTTCACTTGTTTGGTCACTATTTGGGCCTTTCTCATGGCCCAACACAGCCCAACTTAGCCCAATTACCCTCTAATTGGGTTGGCCCAATTCTAATCCTAATTATGTACTAACTATGAATTTTAAGATATTTACTAAGCTAAACAAAGTTCGTAAGTCTAGGTTTCTTTCGGCGAGCTTCCGGTAATCTTCTGACGAACTTCCGACGATCTCTCGGTAATGTTCTAATAGACTCCCGGCAAGCTCCTGGACTTCACGACGATCTTCTTAGCGAGTTTCGACGAGCTTCTTTGGCAAGCTCCTGGACTTCTCGGTCAATTCCGGTAGAACTTCTGACGAACGCTCAGATTTCCAACGAACTCTTGAACTCCGAACGAAATCACATTCTTGACTCCGGGACTTCATTTTGCTTTATGTCTTGCTATCGTAGTTAATCCTATACACATAAAACACACTTTGATCTAGACAATTATTACTAAGTATGAATCATGTTGTCCGGCATGTCATTGGTCCATCGACGCTTTGTCCGATTCTTCAGCGCATCGTCCTCTCTTGCGGCCTATTGCCCAATCGGCTAGTTGACCTCCGTAACTCCGATATCATTGGCGCAATATCCGCTCTTTTTGGCCCGAAGCCTTCTGTCGATACATCGACCGATCCTCCGGCTCGACGTCCAATCTTCCGACATGTTTTCCTCCGGCCCAACATGATTCTCCCTACTTTAATTGTCTCATTTTGATCGAAGCATCTTGTGTCACTCAGATCAAATCATAAACACTTATCAATTGGTTTGATCATAAGATTCAACAACATCTAAAAATTTTTTATTTTTTATTTTTTACAACAAAGCAACATAAAAGGACAATTGATTGCAGAAAAAATAATTCTTTTAAGAGTAGCAGCCATTTCATGTTTGCCAAATAAATTTGCTCTGTATTATTATTAATTTTGTGAATCATCAATTTCTTAACAAATAATATATGTATATTTAATAGACATGAATTAATTGACAAAACAAATGAATATATATTCCGTTGCCGGGACTCGAACCCGGGTCTCTCGGGTGAGAGCCGAGTATCCTAACCAACTAGACTACAACGGACTAGTGACATGCAAGTAAACTAAATAATTGATCATCTAAAATTATATGATTGGATATTTTATATATTAACGCGACAAATAATATATGATTGGAAACTAGTAGTTAATTTCATTGATTGGTCATGTTTTCTTTGTGAAATAGGTCGGGTTGATCTCGTTCAAGATATGGTACATATAATCAACAATATCATTCTGTCTCATCCTATTTGTTCTGACTCTAATACAGCACCCACCTTGTGTCAAAATTAAAGATTTCTATAGCTTGAATCTTAACTTGAGATTCCCTTATTTACCACCCACCCCTACACAGCTGAGTGTGATTTCTTCTTAAATCTTTACGGATCCAAAGAGAGCAATAGAAGCCCATCTCGTAACACCGGAAGAGGCGCTATAACTAACAATCACAACATTCTTTGCACGGCTCGTTTTCAAGGGTTTTGAATCCAGCTAGATATTTTAAATCCACATATACGATACGACTCAATCACATTGGACACAGAAACAATGTACATTGACATCATCATGCATCACCAAATATTTTTCTTTGCAGGGTACTAGATAAATATTCTTAAGAATCCATGAATCTAGGAGATAAAAGTTCTTCAGACCTGATGGAATGCAATTGCTTTGCTCAACAATGGCAAACCTGAAATCAACATCTCTGCCAAGCAATATAATCTAAGAAAAAACCACTATGAAGACATGCCCAGTGAGCCAACCTATTGTATCAGTGATATTGTACGTATCTTACAATCTGAGTGGAGTCGATGTATTAGTGACGAAAGGAGGATTATAAACAATACAATCGTAATATCTGCTTGTATGTAGGAGTAAGTAACTTTGAAAAATAAAAGAGAGAGAACTTGAATCTATCTAAGTGGTTCATTACAACACTTTCTTCGTGTCTGCGTTTTGATATATCGGGCTCGTGGGCATACATTACCAGAACATGCCACCAAAAAAAAAGAAAGACAAATGACAGATTGCTTGGAACGATGAAAATGATGGCGGATTAAGAATATATCTATCATAGGATCAAAAAATCTTGTATGTGTTACCAAGATTAGCATATTTCAAACAACAGAAAGTATCAAAGGTTGAAAGCAAAATTTCAAAAACATAAAAACCAAACACATCAACTAGAATCCTCGGAAGATACCGTTGCCAATGGACAGAAGCTGATTACAGGTAAATTTTAACTTCTTAAACCTTTGAACATACAAGATCAGCATCTGACACCCAAGTTACGAACATTAAATTAATCAGCACGTCAAATGTTATTTTCCACTGACTGATAACAACTGTGTGCCTTTTCATCATGAAGGAAGATGTTCAAATAAATGTAGTAAAAGTTCATGATTATTGTGGTGTTTCTTTGCTAAATGAGCAAAACATATATGATAAAAACCACAACTATTTGCTTGAATTTCTCATACCATGCCCACACTGATTCCAGAACAAGATGCAAACAAACCAAATCAAATAGCTACTACACATCTAAACCCCATGATCCATAGATATTATAATATCTTTAAGCAAATTCACTGCAACTTGAAAGGCAATGGAACTGATGACAAGTAGTAAGCTGTTAAATGAATAACCAGTTCCCTCATCAGGAAAATTGCTATCTTTCACAGTATCAATGCTGATAAACAGCAAGAAACTCATCCAATTTCCTTTCTTTTTCTAGGTCTTTTGAAATTATAAGCATGAATTCTTTATAGATATTAGAAACTTCAAAGCCATAATAAGATGTAAACAAGGTCAGTAAACAGATATATCTTCCTTTAAGGTTTACGCTTATCCTTGGAGTCATGAGGCATTTCGAACATTTACTGGATGTGAAACTGAAGTCCACATTTGCACATCACTAAACCATTTATGAAAAGAATAAATATAATCACTCCCATCCTCTCAAGCAGACACAAAGTGAAGAAAGTACATGGACTAGAGACTAGCTTATGAGTCTTCTAAAAACGAGTATTATCTGTAACTAGAAGTTATGAATAGAAACTAACAATTGACAAGCAATACAGGACTCATCAAAAAATAAAAACAATAGCACAGTAAACTATAAGGGTATGTATAATAAAAAATATAGTATAGGTCCTCCGGTGCATATATGTTCATATGGCTCCGTCGCATAAGGCTTCTGTGGCTAAATAGGCAACTTATTAATAAGATAAAGTGTTTCATCAAAGTAGAAATTTTGTTTTTAGAAATACATCCATTTAAAATAATTGATTTCCATTCTCTCATAACATAACTTACAATGCAAGCTCCCCGAAAAAGATTATTATGAGTAAATTTCCATCATATGCTGCTAAATGATACCATTCTCTTTTATTACCACAAAAAAATATGACCATAATAATTTAATGACATAGAAGAACAAATGGTAGACACATAAATATTTTATTAATCATATATACTCGTCAATCAAATTAAATTAACAAATGCAAGACAATTGATTAAATTTTCTCAAAGTTTGATGAAAATGATGCATTGAATTGAGAAATTATAGTCAAACATGCATGACAAATGCATAAGCCAACCAATTAGCCTCGAAGAAATTCTATTCAGGGAATCAGGATAAAGAGAACAAGAAACCAGCTGAATGAAAATGAATTAGCTCAGGGGCTGGCATCCTTACAAAACTGTGTACATACATGACATGGTCTCTCATGGTGCAGATACAACAGCAATAAAAGACAGAACGTAAAAAATTTCTAACCTGCACCAGAAGCTGTAATAAAATGTCTTTAAACCAAAAGAATCTTCTCGGGCAAAGCCGATCACCATGGCTCCATCTTCTCTATACATAGACAAAAAATCCCAAGGCTGAAGTATTTATGTGTTTATTTTGATGTATAAAAAATTGTACCTCATCTGCTAAGAGGTTCAAGCTGCACTTCCATTATCCCAGATGTCTGAGACTCTGATTTAGTAACCGTCCTTTCAGAATGCAACAGATCCACTGAATCATCATCTTCACTGTTTCCCAACACCCAATTGCCTTTTAAAGAGCTCCTATGTATTCTTCTCCGCTTAATCTCCATATATTCCAAGTACATAACTAAAAGGGCAAAAGCCAAAACCCATAATATTAATGCCCAAGTAAGCCCTTGAACATTCTCACTGCCATACCTATGCCTCAAATGCTTCATCCCAGTAATTAGCGCAGCAACTCCAGCTACAATAGCAGACCTCCCTACAATAATGTGAAAATACTCCCAAATTATCCTTTTTGGAGAGGCAATCTCTCCTTCTGCTGGTCTTTTTGGACGTACGCATGCATTTAATGGCTGTGCGCATGCCAAGAGTATGGCAGTAACACCAAATTTCACATGCACCAAACTTAAATAAAACCCACGGAGTTCAGCAGCTGCAAAAAGAACACCAAGTAACATGATAGCTATTCCAGAGTATTGCAAGTAGACATGTAACTGGAACCAGCCATCACCCTTTATGTGCCTCAAGTACCTCGCGGCCAAAATTCCCCCAGGAAGCAAGATTCCCCAAGCCACAAACATCATGAATCCATGCACAGAAAGAACAGGGCGCAGATCCTGGTCCGCCTCTGCTGATCCTCTCAACAATAGAACACTAACAGGTCTGTTGCTTGCGACAGAATGCATATTCCTCTCGCTTAAGTTATCTGCCATCCACTGAGAACCCATGGCCCAGATGACTTTGAGAGGAGTCGTAGGATCAATAATATTCTTACACTCTATCTTTCCACTACAGGAGGGTGACAGAGGACGAGTAAATTCAAATGTTATTATTCCATTTTCTTGTCCACATCTAACAAAGGTCAAATTTTCAGAAACCGGATGCACATTCATTGCGTCCTTGCTGTCGATCCAGTAAGTGTTCACATGACCTTTCCCATTGTTGTCTATCCAACCGACATATGCATAGCTGTCTATCATTCCACTTCCAAATCCAATTGCAAGATATCCACTTTTCTTCTCACCTCGAGCCGCAATAGATATCGAATCTTCAGATAAAGTCCAAAAAAAGGAAACCTGTTGATCATCCAAGAGAACACTGTTATTATACATGTCTGAAAGACCACCATCAACAACCTGCACTTTCCAGCCCATTTTCTGCCCGAACAAGGAGTGGTAGTAAAGTTGATCTGGTGTATTCCGATCAGGCAACCATGTCAACTCTGTCGGGCTAGCTGGGACACCTTCAAACTCTGGTCCACCAGCATACATTACCTCTGTCATGTTCCGCAATGTTGCATTCCCACCGATGGGATCAGAGGTGAGGTAAAGTGCCACATCATGCCCAGCTTGGATTGAGAAGGTTACTGGCACACCTCTTTCAGCTCTCAGCAAGGGTGCTTCTTTCTTGTTGATATAAAGAACCTTTGTGGGATTTGGAGGGTTGGGGTAATGCAATGCAGGCCCTGAGGTAACAACCAGTGGCGTCTTTGCATCTGCAATTATAATATCCTGATCCTCCTTATCTTCAGCATCCAGTGGCCCAAAGCAATTGTCCACCTCCTTCGACAAATTGAGGCTGAGGTAATTATAAGCTGTTTCTCGTGGTTTCCCATGATTCTGAGGAAGGTAGTAAGGCCGAATCGAATCAGGGGGCTTCAGCAGACCCAACGCCCAGATCACTGTCATGTTCTGTGTCACGTTCACCGGCACATCATACTTCTTATCAATGGACACTAATGGACGCTCGTACCGGACAAATGCCACTCCATCTCTCCGATGACCATAGACCAATTTGGTATTGTTGACCAGTCCAACTGGATCTGAACCCTCGTAGATTGTATCAGGACACACACCTTCGACCTTGCCGTCCTTGTTGAGAAGGCATTCACTGTATCCAGTAATGAAATAGTCATCGGAAAAGGGATTACCTTCTTCTGTGAACCCGGTGACAGTCACATCTGCATTGAGCATATGCGACGACGAACCAGGCGTCGTCCACCCAAAGGCCATATAGTACTCCGATCCCACCGTTGCTTCAAGGCCGATATCGACAGAATCAGATTCAGGGTCCAGCGTCCACCGAAGTCGAAATCGCGAAGATAGGGCAAAGCAGTTGGTGAACATGGTCGGCTGGCGGTGGATCTGGCTCTTGCTCTTGTGCTCGACCAAAGAATCAGAAGCCGGCGAAGGGGCTGGGGAGAGATCGGGACTCGGGGCCACGGTAGGCTCAGTCTCATTGTCGCCGGCATTCCGGAGGAGGACGTGGCCGAAATCGGAGGCGGTGGCCTCATCCCAGATGGCGAGGACGGCGATCTGGTCCCAAGAGGCGTTGTCGGACAGCCGGATAGTGAGCGACTCGTTGCGGAAGGTGCGGTTGAGGGGCAGGTCGGAGATCCGGGATCCCATTGTCAGGTTGTGGAGGTCGTCGCCGGCAGCGCCAAACCACCGGACCTGGTCGGAGCCGGCGAGCATGTCGAATCCCCGGACGGAGAAGGAGCAGCCGTCGACGATCCGGACGACGCCGCGGACCTGGTGCTGGACCATGGCGAGGTCCGCCTCGAAGCCGGCAAAGGAGGTGTTCTCCGTGCAGCCGGCGACGGCGGGACCGATGGGGAGGAGGAGGAAGAGGAGGAGGAACAGCGATGGCGGGGACGCCATCGAAGGAGGTGGATCGAGATCTGTCCAACAGGTCCGCGGGATTTGGGGTCTAGGGTTAGGGTTCGATGAAGGCGGTCGTTAGCGCGTCGCTGCGAGGAAAGCCAAATTTAGTGGGAAGGAGACATGGAAACTTCGTTTCTCCTCCACCGCCTCCTCCATTATGCCTCCATTCATATACTTTCTTTTGTTCTTGCTTGTCTAGCGTATAAACAATGTTTTTTCTTTTAAAGGTCTTTTTGAGGAAAATTATATTTATTTATCCCTATAAAAATTATATATATATATATATATATATATATATATATATATATATATACCTTGTGAGTAGAAGTCTAAATAGTATATTCAAGAACTTATATCAAATATAAAGATATTATATTATTTTAAAGGGTATATATTTTATAAATATTTTAACTCAAATTAGCTAAGTTTTACTATAGTTAATCATTTTTTTTTGACAAAAATTAAGTGATGAAAGCCA